TCGCATGACTATCAAAATCGTTTTGGGGCATTTGAAGGGTTTGGGTTTGCCTTCAATACAAACTGCTAAACCGCAGGCAAGCAGACGCGAAAAATGGCGAAAACATGCGCTTGAGGCCGTCGCGTGACTATCAAAATCGATTTTTTGGGGCCGTCGCATGACTATCAAAATCGTTTTTGCGGATTTTAGGGGTTTGGGTTTGCCTTCAATACGAACTGCTTAACCGCAGGCAAGCCGAGGCGAAAAATGGCGAAAACATGCGCTTGAGGCCGTTGCTTAACTATCAAAGTCGTGTTTAGGGCCGTCGCATGATTATCAAAATCGTTTTTGGGCATTTGAAGGGTTTGGGTTTGCCTTCAATACGAACTGCTATACCGCAGGCAAGCAGTTTCCAAGAATGGCGAAAACATGCGCTTGAGGCCGTCGCGTGACTCTCAAAATCGTTTTGCGCCTTTTCGGGGTTTGGGTTTTTTTGATAAGAGCAAAGAGATTGAGTGAGGGAGTGAGCGTCCGAAAGTGCGCGGCACAGGCCACGCGCGAGGGGGTCGGTGGTTTGGGTGTGTGTAAAAGGGAGAAAGCCTTTCCGGAGAGTGAGGTGATGCGCCTGCTGGTGGTGACAGTAGCTGTGCATGTTCAACGAAGAATGTGCTGCCTATGCACGCCTCTGAGTATGCTTTGCCGCCATTCTTGGCGACCGAGGTGTTGTCGCACGACTGCGTGGCGAGGGCCAGAGTTAAAACGAAGAGTTTGGTGCAATCTCAAACAGTTCTGGCTTGGGGAGGTCCACCCACCCCCTCCGGGGGGCTAGGGCTAGGTTTTGTGCAGCGTTGAGCAGTCTTTCGACTGGACGACTGCACGGATTCCAGAAGTATCGTACTTCTAACCTCCAAGGTCTGAGCTCCATGCTGAAAGTCGCACATAAACGCCGTATCCAAGACTCTATTGTGCTTGAAGACTCGTGCGCAGATCTTTGCGTCCGAAAGCTCCCCTATTCAGTATACGTTCTGTTTCACCTTGGAACACGTTCCCTTGTCTCACCTCTGATGCGCATGATGCTCGCCGCCCTCTTTTGTAATGCTCTTGATAAGTTTGATGCGGCTAACGCTGGCACGCTCTGGTGCACATGCCCGGGGCCACAGTGCAAACATAACGTGCGTGCTGTCGTCCAATGTGGAAGTTCAAGATCCTTGCCGGATGCACTTTCATTGAAGGGCATGTAGCACGTTACGATCTGCACGTTCCAGGTTGCAGTCGCGCTTTTGGAATCTCAGCTTCCGAACAACAGTGCGCTGGTGTATTGGTGCGTGTGAGTGAGCGAAGGGGGCATGGCTGTAAATGGCCTTGGCAGCCACTCAGCTCTGTAAAAAGCCTTGACGAGAGCACCTGAAAGAGCTTTCGTCGGGCACTTAATGTTGTAATGCAGAGTAGTGGTGAGCTCCAGCATGGTTCCTTTGAGGCGCCATGCCGCCAAAAGCGAAGGCCAAAGCGAAAGCCGAAGGAGTATGCTTGGCATGCTTCCCATTGAGCTAGAACGTGTCCTCTGTTTTGGGCCCCGAAAACTGACCATGGTTTGGGGTCCGAAGGGGGTGGCCTCCACAGTTGCTGCTGCCATTGGTAAGACTACCTGCAGCAAGTGTCAACGTAAACGTTGAAAACGAATAAGTTTTTGACAAGCACTGATTGGGTGCGACACTTTGGAGTTCTCCAGCTGCATCTTCTGAAGAACTGGTGATGTTGGCCGGTATTCCTTGATCAGCATCCAGATTTTGCGATGCCAAGAACCGGCTTGAATGTGGTTCTCCGCCACCAAAATGCGGGCCCAAAAAGGGGACCGTTTTCTGAGCCCCCGGTAAATGTGCGAATACTAGAAAGCTCCAAAAACGGGCCCAAATTCCGGGCCCACTTTTGGGCCCCACTTTTCAGCCACTTTTGTGAGTTCTGAATTCACAAAAAATGGCTGCAAACAGGTGTTGTGAAGGAACCATCAGTCGCAAATCTCTGTCTTAGTTACGCTGCCAACATGACAGCTGGGGCTAGAGCTGTTGCAGGATTGAGAGAGAACGACAGTGACAGTGTTGTGCAGCTACGCAGTTGAACTAACTAGACAAGATAATCCGGCACTGTGGAGGCCCAGTTTGAAAGGCACCGTTTTTGACTGGGTTTTTGGGTCCCAAAACAGGCCCCGCAGGATTTGCAGATGAACCTAAGTTTCCATGCCCTGTTGGCAAGACTTGGCACGCCAGGTGGTGCTGCAAGAGCAGCTGAAGGCCTTAAAAAAGGCTCGCCAAGACGCAAAGAAGGCGGTGAAGGACACGAGGAAGAAGGAAAAGACGGTTTTGAAGCGGAAAAGCCGTCTGGTGAAGGCGGACTGGGAGGGTTTGCTGTTGGTGCTGAGTCACATGGGTTCCTACCCGTAGGCGCGTGCCGGCGCAGGCTCAAGCAGTGCCGTTTTGCGAGGAGAGATGCCAAGAACTAGCATGCCAGGTGAGCTGAAAGAGCTCTCGCGTCAGATTCGTCTTCTGACGAAGCGCTGCAAGAGGCAAGAAGCCGCAGAACGTGACCGTGGCAGTCGGGTTGGACAGGTGCGACAGCGGTGTGCTCCAGACAGTTTGGTTTGCCTGCTTGTCTACATCTTGAGCAATTATGTGGTGGAGCTGGCCGCTGACTTCGTCCTGGGAAAGGGATGGAAGAACGATCGGGTTCATTGCACTGGATGCGATGATGTCATAGCCGCTGTGGAGTGGGGTTACATTCGCACGCCTTTGGACGTCTTGCTGGATCTCGAGCTCGAGCCGCTGAAACTCCTCAGTGCAGCTGCCGTGCTCGCAGCGGCAAAGTATGTCTTGGAGCATCGCTTGGCTGCGTGGGTGGAAACACAAAACCGTGATCATGGTGTAGCTCCGTCCCGACATTTGCTGGTGCATCACGCCCTGACCTGTGTACCAAACATGGTGCCGCGTGAGGTTCGGAGCCGCCTTCTTGGTCAGATCTCTGGGCCGGCGCGGAAGCAGCGAAAGTTTCTGGCCAGTTTTCGTCGTCGCTGGGGAGCACGATATGGACGTCTTCGAGCTGAGGATGTGGTTGGTGTTGAGGAGCGTAGAAGGAAGGCCAGCGGCTTCAAGCATTCTTGCACAGCTGGTAGGGTAGGACTTAATCATAGACCCTGTGCGCTTGTACTCTTGACACAAGCATAGACACACAGCGTAGATGTCGAAGAGACCGTCTTTGGGCTTACGGGTCAAGGTGAGTCGATTTTTGGGGCCCTGCAGAGGCGACAGTTTTCTTTCAGTGGATGAACGAGGCCTGGAAACAATCGCCAAAGGCACCCTTGTTGGTCAACATGGACGAAACTTCGATGGTTCGGCATCCTGCAGGACACTGGGGGACTGTGATGAAGTCAGCGCAAATGAAAGGGCGCTGCGCGGTAGACCGTGCCACCCTCGGAGAACGAAGGTCCTGCATAACGCTGATGGCCTCCATATGTCCGGAAAGCGCGCTGCAAGAGATCTTGCCGCAAGTGCTCCTGGGGAATGAGCATCAGCTCAGCGTGCGCACACTTCGGACATTGCGTCCGTCCCTTCCTAACAATCTCCACATTTGGAGGGAGAAAAGTGCCTGGACCAATACCGGTCTCATCAAGCGTTACCTCAGCTTGCTTGCGCGTAGTTTGGGCAATGTTGTGGAGAAGCGTACAGTGCTTGTCCTCATGGACATGAACCCGTCCCATCTGGACTACTCGCTGATAGCTCATGCGCGGCGCCTCTCGTTGAGATTGGTTTTGGTGCCAGCCAAAATGACGAAGTGGCTGCAACCTGCTGACGTCGCTTTGTTCAACAAACTCAAAAAAAGCTTCCGTGCCAAGTGGTGCGAAGTGAAGTCGACGTCGCCGCAAGGCACTGTGTCGCAGGAGCAGTGGCTCCACCTAATTTGCAGCGCCGTCCAAGAGGTTTTGCTTGGTTTCTGCTGGAGGGCAGTGTTTGCATCTACAGGCCTTCTCGGAAGCCAAGAAGCCATATCCGAAAGTTTGTGTCAGGAACTCGGCCTGGACACTCCGCCGCAAGTTCCAGAGAGAAGTCCAACAAGGAGCGAGGCAGTGGTTCTTTTCCCGGCAAGGACAAAAGTAGAAGTTCTGGCGTGGATCCACTTTTGTCCAAAATCGAAAGTCCCTCTGTGCTGCCCACCGCCGGTGAGTTATTACCGGGGGCAAGCAGTGCGGAGGTTGGAGTAGTCAGTAGTCTGCCGGAAGCACGGGTGTCACCTTTGAAAAGACGGTTCGTGCGTGTTGCGGCGCATAAGCAGTATGATGCTGGTTTGCATGCTGCGCGGGACACGGCGTCGCTCTGTGATGGAGATTCAGCATGCTGAATGCGTGTGTCACGGATGAGGCGGCTCGACAGCTGTCCACGGAAGACCTTACGGAACTGCTCCGTGCCAAGGAGGCGAGTGGTGTGTACTGGGGGGCAGTGTTAGCACCGGCTTGGTGCCAGGAAGTGGCGCGCGCGCAGCAAGCAGAGTGAGTTTCAGTGTGCACTGCGGACGGTACGGCAAGTGCCCTTGGTGAAGGTTCTACAGACAGTACAGTGCCTCGGAATGGCGCGAGCTGTGTGCGGGTGCAGCAACTGCAAGCCTAGCAGAGCTTGGTAACTCTACAGTCAAGTCTCTGGAAGTGGCTTAAACTGTGTTGGGTGCGCCTCGCAAGGCTTTGCAGTCTACAGTACAGTAAAGTGCCTCGGAGTGGCGCGGGCTCTGTGCGGGTGCAGCAACTGCAAGCCTAGCAGTGCTTGCTAGCTGTACAGTAAAGTGTTAGGAAGTGGCTTAAACTGTGTTGGGTGCAGCTGCTGCGACGCAGAAGTGCCGCGCAAGGCTTTGCAGTCTACAGTACAGTAAGGTGCCTTGGACTGGCGCGAGCGGTGTGCGGGTGCAGAAACTGCAAGGCTAGCGGCTAGCAGTGCTTGGTAACTCTACAGTAAAGTCCGTGGAAGTGGCTTAAACTGTGTTGGGCGCAGCAGCTGCGACGCAGAAGTGCCTCGCAAGGCTTTCCAGTCCACAGTGCAGTAAAGTGCCTTGGGCTGGCGCGAGCTGTGTGCGGGTGCAGCAACTGCAAGGCTAGCAGTGCTTGGTAACCCTACAGTAAAGTCCAAGGAAGTGGCTTAAACTGTGTTGGGCGCAGAAGCTGCGACGCAGAAGTGCCTCGCAAGGTTTGCCGTCGACAGTACAGCAACGTGCCTTGGACGAGC